GATTCAATCTATCGCTGAAGCGTTAGAGATTCCGCGATCAAAAGATAAAGGTCACCTCCGATTGAGCCGACATATGCAGCGTTTACCGTGAATGCAGTCTCACTAACGCTGAACTTCAGCGATACAGATAGTTCCGCATCTAACGGCTCGATTCAAAGGTTTTGACTAAGCACTCGATTCAATCCGTACGGCGTTGGATGTTCCAATGTTCCTGCATTGGAGGAAACTGCATTCACGGTAAACGCTGCATACGCTCAATCGGAAATTACTTTTACATTTCAGTCGCACTATACTGCGGATATTCCACGATACGGATTTAATCTAGCCCTAAGTGATACACGGAAACTGTAAAATACTATGCAATGTCCCATGCACCAGCCAGCGCCTCACATTCAGTTATCAGCAGCAGATATGAGATATTGTTCTTCTGTGCCTTTACAAATCTATGCAGCAGATAAGAGCTCCTGTATGTTCCTCCCTATTGACATGAATAGTGTCTGGAGACATGTAACTATTCTGCATGTATGTTTCCAATGTAAATAGGACTATCTGACTCACTTACAATGTATGATTACCATCTTACATTGTACTGTCTGTATGTTGACAAAGATGTTGCTAAGCAATAGCCACAAACAATGCATACATATCCACTCAGGTAAATAAAGACCATAGCAGGCGCTTGTGAAACCTGAAGAAGAATGTACTCGGATGCACAGAACGGTGAGGCACTGTATGTATGGCATCCATTGTGACGGTATAAGTCTATGGTGAGACTGGTGTTGTAGACTAATCTAAAGGGAAAGGTGTGGTTGTCATGGCTATCTCTCTGTGCACTGTGGACTATGAGCCACTGGTTGGCTTTATTGTACGTAGGATTATTTCTGTGGTTTATAAATGTTTTAAGCTTTTAATTTTGCAGCTAGATTTTATTAATGCCAAAGGTCTATTTATATACAATGTTCCTAAATGTATTAACAAGTATTTTTCCATTTTTGAAGGCAGTGATATGTTATTTGTACAGATTGCAAATACAATATTTTTCTATAACTGTTTGTATGTGTTCTCTCTAGGCCACAGTTATAATAATCGGATGATTCAGAACCTGAAACAAATCACAGTTCTAGTCAATGAGTTGTGTTTTATTGGTTATACAGTGACCCAGAACTTTCACACATTTCTAGCCTTTGTTGTTAATTGGCCAAGAATTGTTAGCATTTGAAATCTATTTACTACCACCGCTTGAGGGGAATGACAGATAAATTCAAAAACGTAAAAGTAGTTCAAATCAAATTGTATTGGCCACGTGCGCCGAATACAACAGGTGTATACATTACAGTGAAATGCTTACTTACAGCCCTTAACCAACAATGTATTTATTTTTTAAAAAAAATAAAAATAAAACAACCAAAAAGTGTTGAGAAAAAAAGTAACAGTAGGGAGGCTATATATACAGGGTGGTACCGGTGCGGGGGCACCGGCTAGTTGAGGTAGTTGAGGTAATATGTACATGTGGGTAGAGTTAAAGTGACTATGCATAAATAATTAACAGAGTAGCAGCAGCGTAAAAAGATGGGGTGGGGGTGGGGGTGGGGGGGGCAGTGCAAATAGTTCGGGAAGCCATGATTAGCTGTTCAGGAGTCTTATGGCTTGGGGGTAGAAGCTGTTGAGAAGTCTTTTGGACCTAGACTTGGCACTCCGGTACCGCTTGCCGTGCGGTAGCAGAGAGAACAGTCTATGACTAGGGTGGCTGGAGTCTTTGACAATTTTGAGGGCCTTCCTCTGGCACCGCCTGGAATAGAGGTCCTTGATGGCAGGAAGCTTGGCCCCAGTGATGTACTGGGCTGTACGCACTACCCTCTGTAGTGCCTTGCGGTCGGAGGCCGAGCAGTTGCCATACCAGGCGGTGATGCAACCAGTCAGGATGCTCTCGATGGTGCAGCTGTATAATTTTTGAGGACCCATGCCAAATCTTTTCAGTCTCCTGAGGGGGAATAGGCTTTGTCGTGCCCTCTTCACGACTGTCTTGGTGTGTTTGGACCATGATAGTTTGTTGGTGATGTGGACACCAAGGAACTTGAAGCTCTCAACCTGTTCCACTACAGCCCCGTCGATGTAGATGTAGTTCACTCCATCTGTTGGCTAAACCATAATTATTTATATATTTTTTGTTATCTTGAATGTTAAAACATACAATCTACCTGCAGTGAAGCCGCTCAACATTTACATTAGATTCAGTCATCTAACACTCTCACCCAGAGCGGCCCACAGACACAACCAGGGTCAACGCAATGCCCGAGGGCACGTCAATAGATCTCCCACCAAGTCAAAACGGGGACCTGAACCAGCGACCTATCGGCCACCGGCCCAAGCTCCCAACCGCCAGGCCACCAACCCTCCAAGATCCCCCCACAGTTCCCAAGAGCAGCCCCTCAACCATCCGAGACCCACCCCCTTCAAAAATAAATGAAACCTCACCCTCTATTCCCCACCCCCGAACCCAAAAAAATAAAAACAGCAAGACCAACTGAATACATTTGAGTGCATGTGTGGCACTATTTACGTGTGTGTGTGTGCGCACGTGTGCGTTTGAATGCGAGCGTGTGTCTATGCATGTGTACACACGTACAAGCACCTGCACGGCATCAGCCTCAGGCAAACAGACATGGGATGTAACAGCATTGCCCCTCAGTGTCATTCAAACTTACTTTTTTGTTTTGTTTCATAAAACTTAATTTTTACTTTTATCTTTGACCGTCATTCTATCCCCCGCCCAGCAACTCCACTCCCACTTGTCTCCAGTTCCACATCCCAACCCTCAGCTTCCCATAATTGCCCATCAGCTGATGTATGAGGCATAAATTGACACGACAGCATAGGACTCTACAATCTAGGTTTCTACAAAGTACATGAATCAATCAATAGCCTACATTTCATAGGCCAACGTGTGAAATCAGAATAATGATTGATATTGATTTTAAAAAAGCACTATTGCCCATTTAGAAATTCGTCATGATTACAAAGTTAAAATAATACATTTTTAAAAAAGTGATCAATTGCACCTTAGCAGCTCTAGCTAAAATCTGAGGGGACATAAAATACAAGAAAAATATCTGTGATCTAAAAAGCTCAGTGGACACCGGATCTAGGTTAAATAAAAAAAAAGGAGAGGAACTGTGTACAGCCATCTCTAAAACATCTCCAGAGTGGTCTGGGGGTCAGTCAGTCAGTGTGTTAGCCAGCTAGTGGAGATGGAGCTGCATGGGGAGCCCAGGACCAGGGGAGAGTCTGCAGTAGTGACCCAGACTGGCCTGAGCACACTACCTCTAGGTAGAGCTTCTGTCCAGAGTGGAGGTACAGCCAGATCACCCTGCTCAGCTGGGCTGGCATGGAGTACAGACCACACCACAACCGTGAAGCACATCAGACAATGAGGGGATTCGATTAAGATGGACCGGATTTTGCACCGGTCTATGGCCCGTCACGTGACTGGGTGAAGCCGGTGCAAAGTGAGGGAGGCGCGCCCTGCTCGAATCGAACAGTATTCTGCCTCGCTCAGTCATGTTGTCAACAAGGCAGCATGATGCTTTGTTCAGAAACATACATCTATTTTCCATAAAATATACACTACCGTTCAAAAGTTAGAAATGTCCTTGTTTTTGAAAGAAAAGCCATTTTTTTGTCCAATAAAATAAGATCAAATTGATCAGAAATACAGTGTAGAAAGTGTTAATGTTGTAAATGGCTATTGTAGCTGGAAATGGCTGATTTTTTATGGAATATCTACATAGGCGTGCAGAGGGTCATTATCAGCAATCATCAGTACAGTTTATCCTTTTAAAAGGCTAATTGATCATTAGAAAACCCTTTTGCAATTATGTTAGCACAGCTGAAAACTGTTGTGGTGATTAAAGAAGCAATAAAACTGGCCTTCTTGAGACTAGTTGAGTATCTGGAGCATCAGCAATTGTGGGTTCGATTACAGGCTCAAAATGTCTAGAAACAAATAACTTTATTCTGAAACTCGTCAGTCTATTCTTGTTCTGAGAAATGAAGGCTATTCCATGCGAGAAATTGCCAAGAAACTGAAGATCTTGTACAACGTTGTGTACTACTCCCTTCACAGAACAGCGCAAACTGGCTCTAACCAGAATAGAAAGAGGAGTGGGAGGCCCCGGTGCACAACTGAGCAAGAGGACAAATACATAAGAGTGTCTAGTTTGAGAAACAGACGCCTCACAGGTCCTCAACTGGCAGCTTCATTAAATAGTACCCGCAAAACACCAGTCTCAACGTCAACAGTGAAGAGGCAACTCCGGGATGCTGACCTTCTAGGCAGAGTTGCAAAGAAAAAGTATAGTGTCTGTGTTCTTTTGCCCATCTTAATCTTTTATTTTTATTGGCCAGTCTGAGATATGGCTTTTTCTTTGCAACTCTGCTTAGGTCAGCATCCCAGAGTCGCCTCTTCACTGTTGACGTTGAGACTGGTGTTTTGCGGGTACTATTTAATTAAGCTGTATGTGTATTGAAAGCACTACAGTTGCAGCAGAAGGAACACAGACCTGCAAAGCCATAATTTGAGGCTTGTAAACAAGACAAATGGCCCCTTTGGTTGTGTCCATCTATGACCATGGGTCAGTCAGCCATGGGCAGGCCCAGGTACTAAATCCAAATGTAAAAAATGTACAGCATGTTGACAACCTGTCATGGCTGGGGCCAGTGATGGATGGCTGTAGCACAGCTCAGGGTAAATTATGTCAAACCACTTATATACTCAATACCTCCCACCCTGGCTGCATGGAGGAGGGGATTTTCCCCTGTTAAATATTGACTACGATCAATATCATCATGGTATCATGGTAGTGCATTAGCACTACAAGTAAAACTAGTAAGAACCTAAATGAGAAAGGACAACATTGAAGAAATCAATAGAAGGAAAATCTTAAGAGAACCTGTAGCTGATAGGGTGGGTACATACTGGAGAACAGAGGATCTACTGTACCTTGGGAGATCTTGGTGTCAAACTCCAGCAGAGGGTAAAGGTTGTCAGGCAGCACCCGTCTGACCCAGGAGTTCTGCTCCAGGAAGATCCAGTGATGGACCAGCCTCTTCCTTTGGAGGAAGCCCTGCATGCGCCCTAGGTACACCGCATTGCCTGACACTATGTACTGCCTGGGGGATGACCAGAAAGTTAAACTTCTGACATTTCTAATGGCCATCTGGCTAATATGAATGAATGACAGAAAATGCATGACAAAAATGTTTTATGAATTCCAAAATAGTCATGTTCCTGATACAAAAAAAGGAGCAATCTGTGTTTGCAACATCCATGTTTGGACTTTTAAATTAATTAAATGTCTCAAGAATTTAGTTCAACTGTCTAACCCCATCAGAACCCAAAATAAGCTTGTTTTACACCTTTGTTTAAATTACATTGTTTACAAACACTGTATAATTACAAAACATGGTTTAAACTATAATTTAGATCTCATGGATTGTCCTTGCATTCATAGCTCTGTAGAGCTATGGTTAAATTTCTCCATCCCCAGCCCTCAGCTGTTTGCCGAATCTGGCGGGGTGACCGGTTTGTTGTGGTTTGAACTGCACTTTAAGAAAGCAGGGGAAAAACACAATGAGCCTGGAAAAATGTCATTCAATTCTGGGGTAAAAGATTCAGGCTCTGAGTTTGAGTTATGTGCTTCTGTTGAACTCCTCTGTATAGGTTGAGGGGATGAGCAGTCTTGAAGTTCAAACATATCATCGACTGACAGTGGATAGCGCTGGGTGCTGCTCTGCAGGCAATGTCTTTGAAGCTACCAGTGGTGCGCCGATACACACTGCTCTCTCCCCAGGCTTCAAAGCATAGCTAACAAGTTTTTAACCAACTGACAGTATAGTTCCATATTCCCACTCAATAGGATCTGAAATGCACAAGGGTCCATTCACCAATTTACCGCCTGGTGACGTCACTAGACAGGCCAAAACTCCATCCCACCAAAACAGGCAGAAATTTCAGGTGTTCTTTTCAAACACACTAAAAGGGCTTTATCATTTTCACAGTATTATTCCAACCTTATTTATTACTTGTTTCCCTCATTAAAATGCAAATCAATTTATAACATTTTTGACATGCGTTTTTCTGGATTTTTTTGTTGTTATTCTGTCTCTCACTATTCAAATAAACCTATCATTAAAATTATAGACTGATCATGTCTTTGTCCGTGGGCAAACGTACAAAATTAGCAGGGGATCAAATACTTTTTTCCCTCACTGTATATGGAACAAAAATATAAACGCAACATGTAAAGTGTTGGTGCCATGTTTCATGAGCTGAAATAAAAGATCCCAGAAATGTTCCATACGCACAAGAAGCTTATTTTTCTAAAATGTTGTGCACGAATTTGTTTACATCCCTGTTGGTGAGCCTTTCTCCTTTGCCAAGATAATCCATCCACCTGACAGGTGTGGCATATCAAGAAGCTGATTAAACAGCATGGTCATTACACAGGTGCACCTTGTGCTGGGGACAATAAAAGGCCACTCAAATGTGCACACAACACAATGTCACAGATCTCAAGTTTTGAGGGAGCGTGCAATTGGCAAGCTGTCCACCAGAGCTGTTGTCAGAGAATGTAATGATAATTTCTCTACCATAAGCCGCCTCCATCATTTTAGAGAATTTGGCAGTATGTCCAACCGGCCTCACAACCACAGACAACGTGTAACAACGCCAGTCTAGGACCTCCACATCCAGCTTCTTCACCTGCGGGGTTGTCTGAGACCAGCCACCCGGACAGCTGATGAAACTGTGAATTTCTGCACAAACTGTCAGAAACCGTCTCAGGGAAGCTCATCTGTGTGCTCATCGACCTCACCAGGGTCTTGACCTGACTGCAGTTTGGCGTCGTAACTGACTTCTGTAGGCAAATATTCACCTTCAAATGCCACTGGCACGCTGGAGAAGTGTGCTCTTCACGGATGAATCCCTGTTTCAACTGTGACGAGCAGATGGCAGAGTGGATTGCTGATGACAACGTTGTGAACAGTGCTCCATGGTGGAGGTGGGGTTATGGTATGGGCAGGCATAAGCTACGGACAACGAACAGAATTGCATTTTATCTATGGCAATTTGAATGTACAGAGACACCGTGACGAGATCCTGAGGCCCATTGTCGTGCAATTCATCCGCCGCCATCACCTCATGTTTCAGCATGATAATGCATGGCCCCATGTTGCAAGGATCTGTACACAATTACTGGAAGCTGAAAATGTCCCAGTTCTTCCATGGCCTGCCTACTCAGACATGTCACCCATTGAGCATGTTTGGGATGCTCTGGATGGACTTGTACGACAGCGTGTTCCAGTTCCCGCCAATATCCAGCAACTTCACACAGCTATTGAAGAGGAGTGGGACAACATTCCACAGGCCACAATCAACAGCCTGATCAACTCTATGCGAAGGAGATGTGTCACGCTGCATGAGGCAAATGGTTGTCACACCAGATGCTGCCTGGTTCCCCTACCTTTGTTTTTTTAAGGTTCCTGTGACCAACAAATGCATATCTGTATTCCCAGTCATGTGAAATCCATAGATTTGGGCCTAATTTATTTATTTCAATTGACGGATTTCCTTAAATCAACTGTAACTCAGTAAAATCTTTCAAATTGTTGCATGTTGCATTTATATTTTTGTTCAGTGTAATAATCACATACTTGTAGTAGGGAAGTGTCTCGATTATCTTCCAGTTGATGGCAGTCTCTTTAGGGTGCACACTCGGGCAATCTGGACCTTGGCTACCTGCCAGAACCACTTGTGCTCCACAAGGGTCTCCTGCAGCAGGTACACGCCCTGCAGGGTGTCCTCGTACACCTGCACTCAGTCAATCACTAATCCATCAGACAATCATACAGTAGAATTTAGGAACATCAAACACTACAGCAGCCTATATACTATTGTCATCCAAGCTAATTCCTCATGCCAAAGTTAACAAGTGCTTTTCCAATTCTATACATCAAGTAAACTAGCTGAGAAAAACAATTCCATCCATAATTTCTTATACAAACCACTAATGTGCCAAAAGCCAATATGATTTTATCAATTGTCTTGGTAACACTGTCCTTGATTGTATTTCTGGCTATTGCTATAGAGTACAAGGCTGCAGCTACCCTGTATTCACACATGGAGTGTAATTGAGTGGGACATGCATTGATACGTCTATAATCCATTTAGCAGTCCATTACATGGGACTATGCGCTTCCTGCAGCCTGCTCAAGCTGTGACCTGTGAAATCACCAGCACAGAGCTAATGATCTGGAGATGCTTAATGGAAGAAGATGCACACTGATGGAATACTAAAGACACCACTGAATCGATGCCAGAAATTCATTTGTATACAAGCAGTTTGGCAAAGGAAATGATCATTGTCCTCCATAATGTTGAAAAGTCAGGCATCTCTCATATTTTTTCCAATACAAGTCAAGTGTTGACAAAAACATAATTGTGCTGTCATTTAGGTAGGTACACTGCACATTACACTCCACTCATTTTGCCTGAAATGTAGTCATTTAAAGAGTGACTGCCCCTAAAAACCAACTAATACCTTTGAAAACGACCTGTGCCATCGAGTCAGAAACATTTATTCTAGCGTCAAAATTGACTACAAAGTGTAAATAGGATAAATTTGGTCAAAGTCAGTCTAGTCTAAAACTGAGTTTGAAACCTCAGTGCGTCACAACGAGTAAATGAAGGTTGGGTTTGGATTACAATTAGCCCCCTTTTGCCAAGCTCCATGTGCAAATCACATGTCCGCCGACTTCGCTTCCCTTCATTAAATGGGGCTCTGTTGTTTCATCACCCCCAACCAACGTGTTCAAAGGATCACAGCCGTTTGAGACTGAAAAGCCCTATTTGGATTGACCATGCAATGCATGCTTCCAGCAGGATACACCAGCCTGGTCTCATAGACTAGTAAGATGGTGCCGACGGAGATGGCGGCCTCGCGACTGGCTCTTAGGAAACTTTGTGTATTTTTATTTTTATTTTTTTAAACTTTATTCGCTCAGGAAATATTTTGTGTCATTACATACAGCCGGGAAAAACTATTGGATATTAGAGCGGCGGTAATTCACCAGAACTACCAGCATTATGACCAGGAATACGACTTCCCCGAAGCAGATCCTTTGTTCGCTCTCCCAAGAGCAATTGAACTGATTCCAGAGGCCGACCCAAACATCGCCGGCAGAGGAGAGGCACTTGATGCGGCCTGCTGGTTCGACTTAGGAGGCGCGTACACCACCCACCGCTTACGAGTATATTACTCGCTAATGTTCAGTCTTTGGATAACAAAGTTGATGAGCTCAGGGCAAGGATTTCTTTCCAGAGAGACATCAGGGCCTGTAACATACTTTGTTTCACGGAAACATGGCTCTCTCGGGATACTCGGAAACGGTCCAGCCAGAGGGATTCTCAGTTCATCGCGCAGATAGGAATAAATATCTGTTCACCCCACTATCATCCAGAAGGCGAGGTCAGTACAGTTGCATCAAAGCTGGGACCGAGAGACTGAAAAGGCCATCAGACTGTTAAACAGCCATCACTAGCACATTAGAGGCTGCTGCCTATAGACTTAGACTATAAATCACTGGCCACTTTAAGAAATGGAACACTAGCACTTTAATCATGTTTACATATCTTGCATTACTCATCTCATATGTATATACTGTATTCTATACTATTCTACGGTATCTTAGTCCATGCAGCTCTGACATCGCTTGTTCATATATCTATATGTTCTTAATTAATTCCTTACTTAGATTTGTGTGTATTGGGTATTTGTTGTGAAATTGTTAGATATTACTTGTTAGATATTACTGCACAGTTGGAGCTAGAAGCACAAGCATTTCGCTACACCCGCAATAACACCTGCTAAACATGTGTATGTGACCAATAACATATTATTTGATTTTATTTGATTTAGTACATTTTAATTTGGGACACTAAAATTAGTATGATATGCTACATTTGGTTACTTAAGGCCACAACGAAAGTAAGGGGTTGGTCGGGGTGGATGGGTGGGCGTATATTGCGAACGTCTAGCAACCCAAATGTTGCGTGTTTGAAATCTCATCACGGACAACTTTAGCATTTTAGCAACTTAATACTTTTTAGCTACTTTGCATGTTAGCTAACCCTAACCTTAACCTCTAGCCTAGCTAACGTCATCCACCTTGCTAGCGTTAGCCACCCTACCTAGCGTTAGCCTACCTCAATAAAACTCGGATTTGGCTTAGAAACACAATAACATTTAAAAAGGTAAATCATTTGTAGGAAAACCTTTTGTCATGATTGTGATGTGGCCAGATTGACTTTAGATACAGTAGCTATAACCTTAGCCAGCTAACTACGATAGAGGGGACCACCGTATTTTAGCTAGCTAACATTAGCATTGCTAGCTATTTGACAAACTTTGCTAGTAACAGCAATGGCAACATCGAAAGTAAATTTGACAACATAATATAGCAATTATTTCCATTCCACTCCAAGTTAGTAATTGTAATCTAGACGAAACAGTCACAGTGTACTAACTAGCAGCAGCAAACTCAAACCAACCCAGGACCATAGCAAAACATGTCACAGTTGGTTGTATAGTGTAACAGCGTCACTGGCCTGAATCTAATCCAATCTGTAAAGCATAGAATTAGCTTCCAAACGAGATCTCAAGCAATGTTTATAATTGAGGGATGATGACAATCGTTTAACCAGTTGGGTGCCAGTCTGATCCCCTGGTCATGAACGGATGCTGGGACCTAACAGAAGCAGCAAAGGTGGGTATCATAACACGTCCAGCAATGTGATTGCAATGGTTTAGCAACCTCAAAATCATTTCATTCACTGTTCACTTACCATTTTCACAGCTTGTCAGGCAAGACCTCAGAATGAAAGTGTGTCATGCGACACAAGTACCCTTGTGACACCATCTCCCTCAACTCCTATGAAAAGGACACATCTTCATAAGGCCTCTGATAGTGACCAGAGTTACTGCCTTCATCAACAACAGATAGTGTGTTATGTGAAAAGTTGTATTCAAAAATACAATACCCAGCTTGATAAAATAATAGGCCAATTCCCCAGCCAAGCAGATACAACTAGTAGAGTCATTTTGGTTGTGAAGTGCATTAGTGTCGTCCTTTCTTTAGACCCAAAATGCAATTTACCACTTAGCTGTCTATTATAAATCACCCTGTCACAGGCCCTCCCAGTCAACACCACCTCATAAGATTGCCTGTTGCAGTTGTTCAAGAGATGTCCAGTTTGAGCAGAACATGGAGCATAGAGAAGACCAGCAAGGGGGCCCTCATCAGCATCATGCAGACATGCCCTCGCTGTGTGCATTCCTATGAATGTTGGCAAGTATCCGGCCAGCGGCAACAGCTTTCACAGGCTCATCATTTGTAGAAATACAGAAGGTAAACCACTTCATTACTTTGATACATTTGAAAACCCAATTGTGAAACAATTGATGTAAACTGACATTTGTTGCTTATTTTCTACTTCTTGGATTCATATAATGTCAAGGGCATAACCTAGTCTGGCAGAACCAACCTGATCGCTGTGTTCACCATTCTATTTCACTGCACATTTATGATAACAAAGGTGAACGCAGCGATCAGGTTGGTTCCCCCAGGCTAATCATAACCACCAATGATAATGTAAATCTGTCTGTCTGAGTGTCTGTCTGTCTGAGTGTCTGTCTGAGTGTCTGTGTAGTATCTTTGAAGAGGGGCAAGGAGCTGATCTATGCTGCTATAGCCATCACTGGGGCTCTGGCAAAGACCTAACCTCCAGCCTCAACTCTTGCCTGCTCACCAACGGTCGTCAAAGTCCAGACTGACAGACGGGCTTGATACCGATGTCTCTGAATGAACATAGACTTGGCATCACATTTTTACTAGACAACTTTTATTTAGTCTTTTTTTATTATTGAATTGAGTGGTATCAGTTAATATGGGGAGGGACAAACCCTGTGTATTCTGCACCAGGATCAGGGAACTCCTGTTGTATATGGGACACCACACAGGAAGGTATGACCACTGGCATGTTTGCCAAGGTAGCCCCATTACCACCAGACAAAATGCCGATAGGCACAGTATCTGTATCAGCGGGAATGCACTTAAAATTAAGGCCACCATTGATTTGCACATGGAGAAATAGTTCTCCACCGTCTGAATTCCTGGGAGGAAGGAGAATAGACACTTGGCATGAAAGCCAGTGGCCTTTGTTCAAAACCTCTTATAGTACAACAGACAGCAGAGCTGAACACAGGGTAATGCTCCATAGAAGAGCCTCAGTGTCGAGGGAGAGGCTTATTAATTTCCCTACTCACTGCATCCAATTAATAATGTATAAAGAAATGCTACCATTAACAGTCATTAGTCAAGGTGGTATGATATTATTCTTGTGGCATAGAAAATTAATATAACCATAATGAGTGAAGTGTATTTATGAGCACCCAAGAGTGGGCACCATTCTAAAACAAATCCAGAGTAAGCACAAGGTTTGATACACTCAGCGCAGTCAATTGAATCAGAGTGCCATGACTGTGCATAACATTAACACAAAGTAGAATAAAAGTATAGGGTGGGCGCAACATCTCAAAGCGTTACTCACCCACAGTCCCGTCACCCCGGGCCAGCTTGCCCTTCCAGTAGTCGGTGGTGGAGCGAGGCCAGGTAGCGGACGTCACACAGTGTGCCTCCCCAGGATGCCACCGTCCTCTTACTGTGCTTCCATCACTGTAGGTAGATGGCCCTGAGCTGCCTGTCGAAGGATGACGGCTGGCAGAACAGCCAGTAGGTAAAGAGCCACAGGAACCGATACTGGGTGTACTGACTGAACCTGGTCTCCAGCTCGCAGTGGTCTGGTAGAGGCAGGGAGAAAGGCTTCAGGGTAGAAACCTTTAGCACAAGTGGATGCACTGCATGTCAAGGGTGAAATTGCATTGATGCTCCAATACATGGATAACGCCACAACAGTCCCCATCTAAATCTAGTGGAGTCCAAAATATACGGGGAAAACAGGACTCATTTTTAAATGAACACAGATCGATTCATGTCTGCCACTTTCAGAAGTTTGTAAAATGTATTTTGGGATCATGAAATGGAACATACAGTATATGAATAAGGGAGGCCTATAGGCCATTAGCTGCCATAAACATTGCCCTGCCTGTAGGCCTATGCAGTTGATTTCAGATGGTGTATAAAGGGTAGGACTAGTGCTCCAGTTCAGAGGGTATAACATTACTCATAATCCGGAGGGAGACAGCTCGGAAACTGAAACTATTTGTGTCTAAGTTTCCGCTCCCCATATCACCAGCCGATAAAAACACTTTGAAGCAACTCAGCAGTGCAAAAAATTGGATAACCTTTTTTACCTCGATGGCTTCAATCATAGACAGACTGTCTGTAATAAACCAGAATCCTGCAAGGGGATACAGCTCAAAGGTTTTCCAGAGTAAAATGCCAATGTCGTGCTTCCCAGTACAGCATTCGAAAGATTGGGTATGATGAGTCAGATGAGGGCTCTGCTTTGAGGATTAAATAAAGTCATTGCTTACAGGTGTTTTCTTTATCCATTGGGAACAGCCATGTTTCTGGCCAGTATTCACACATAACTTGGCCATTGCCACAGCACAACAGTCAAGAGCCTTCATCTGCACTGCCAAAAAGTCCATCTGTATAACAAATACGGCATCCAGCTCATAGCAGGCAATAAAGGACATTACCACCTTTGAATCCCATTGCGTTCACAGTGAAGAGACTAATTATAATTCATAACTGGCTGTGGAGAGCAGACTAGTCCTAAAATTGATCCCAGCAAAAGTTAAAAAAAAAAAAAATGGTATGCCCCATATGACCTTGCCTAATAAATCAGACTGATACCAATTCACAGTCCAAGCCAGAATGTTGAATAAAATTACATTTGAAATTACTCTACCGGTTGTCTGCAGTTGGTCCGTCAGTATGTCAAAATTAGAGAGAAAATATCCACAGGAAAGTATAATTTACCTGAATGTTTTTAGAGCACCGGTACTGCTGTTGACATTTCTAGCACCTGGCACATGCCCAAAACCATGTGAACACCTGCAAAACTTTGTTAGTATGCATGCATCGCATGTAGTTGCTTGAGAACATGCTGGAAAACATTGGCAATACTTCCAGGATGCTCAAGAGGCATACAGCTTCTTCCATTCAAACTTCAGCATGTTGCCCTCGTCATCATCATCTTTGTCTACCAAAGAAGAACAAAACACGGTTGCAATATTCAAGTGACAAACATTCTTCCACTACCTGCCAAACTTTCATTCAGGACAATATGTGTGGCAGCAGGGGCGTAGGCCTCTAGGGAGGCAAGCCCAGCCAATCAGATTGCTTTTACTTGTCAGTGTTCCAAACAGGACATTATACTTTTTACCTAAACATGCAAACACCATCAGATAGAATTCGTAGCAAGCAGTGCACTGGTTTAGTCAGATTAGATTAAATATAACAGAACAGATTAACATTCACTCTCACAGGATGGGTTGCCAAAAATAACTAACTGAAAACCACATACAGTGCATTCGGAAAGTATTCAGACCACTTGACTTTTTCCACATTTTGTTACGTTACAGCCTTATTCTAAAATTGATTTTTTTTTTAATTTCCCCTCATCAATCTACACCCAATACCCCATAATGACAAAGCAAAAACAGGTTTTTAGAAATGTTTGCAAATGTATAAAATAAAATGAAACATCACATTTACATAAGTATTCAGACCCTTTACTCAGTACTTTGTTGAAGCACCTTTGGCAGCGATTACAGCCTTGAGTCTTCTTGGGTATGACACTACAAGCTTGGCACACCTGTATTTGGGGAGTTTCTCCCATTCTTCTGTGCAGATCCTCTCAAGCTCTGTCAGGTTGGATGGGGAGCGTCGCTGCACAGCTATTTTCAGGTCTCTCCAGAGATGTTCAATTGGGTTCAAGTCCAGGCTCCGGCTGGGCCACTCAAGGACATTCAGAGACTTGTCCTGAAGCCACTGCTGCGTTGTCTTGGCTGTGTGCTTAGTGTCGTTGTCCTGTTGGAAGGTGAACCTTCGTCCCAGTCTGAGGTCCGGAGTGCTCTGGAGCAGGTTTTCATCAAGGATCTCTCTGTACTTTGCGCCGTTCATCTTTCCCTAGATCCTGACTGTCATGTGCCTTTTACTGAGGAGTGGCTTCCGTCTGGCCACTCTACCATAAAGGCCTGATTGGTGGAGTGCTGCAGAGATGGTTGTCCTTCTGGAAGGTTCTCCCATCTCCACAGAGGAACTCTAGAGCTCTGTCAGAGTGACTATTGATTTCTTGGTCACATCCCTGACCAAGGTCCTTTTCCCCCGATTGCTCAGTTTGGCCGGGCGGCCAGCTCTAGGAAGAGTCTTGGTGGTTCCAAACTTCTTCCATTTAAGAATGATGAAGGCCACTGTGTTCTTGGGGATCTTCAATGCTGCAGAAATGTTTTGGTACCCTTCCCCAGATCTGTGCCTTGACACAATCCTGTCCCGGAGCTCTACGGACAATTCCTTCGTCCTCATGGCTTGGTTTTTGCTCTGACATGCACTGTCAACTGTGGGACCTTATATAGACAGGTGTGTGCCTTTCCAAATCATGTCCAATCAATTAAATTGACCACAGGTGGACTCCAATCAAGTTGTAGAAACATCTCAAAGATGATCAATGGAAACAGGACGCACCTGAGCTCAATTTCGAGTCTCATAACAAAGGGTCTAAATACTTATGTAATTAAGGTATATCTGTTTTTGAAAAATTTCTAAAAACCTGTTTTCACTTTGTCATTATGGGATATTGTATGTAGATCGATGAGGGAAATGTTTTATTTAATCAATTTTAGAATAAGGCTGTAACGTAACAAAATATGGAAATAAGTCAAGGGGTCTGAATACTTTCCGAATGCACTGTATGTCACTGTCCTTCAATGGCTATATGTACCATGCCACTGCCTATTTCATTTGTTCATTTAGCAAACAAGATATCTCATAATCCAGTGCCTTTTATCACAGTCAACATACCTGTATTTCAGCTTTAAAAATGCTAAATTTTCTCTCTGCCCCATGGCAAAATGTGTACTCTTGCATTTGAGGATGTACATTTTGCCCACTAACATTTTTTAAAACTTTTTTTTATTTTTTTTAGTCATTTAGCAGACGCTCTTATCCAGAGCGACTTACAGTTAGTGAGTGCATACATTATTATTTTTTCATACTGGCCCCCCGTGGGAATCGAACCCACAACCCTGGCGTTGCAAACGCCATGCTCTACCAATTGAGCTACATCCTTGCCGGCCATTCCCTCCCCTACCCTGGACGACGCTGGGCCAATTGTGCGCCGGCCCAACATGGGTGAACAGCTGCGATGATTGTTCTCTATCCAATAGCATAAACAGCGAGACAGACATGCCCAGCAGCCCGATTTTGTTTACATAAGACAACTCATCGCACATTTTTTTAACTTGAGAAATACTGCACCAAACACCTTAGATGTAAAATTGTGCAACTAAAATATACTTGGCAAAAATGTTAAATTTATTACAGATTTCTTAAGTTCTTAGATTCATTCTGGTGATTTTGAGGAAGTGAACTAGGCTTCCACATCTACAGTATCTCATGGGGGACAAACATTAACCAAAGAGGAAACACCTCCAAGACTAAAATCTTGTTTTTCTAATGAGCAACAAAAAAACATGTGCCAATCGGTGTGTTCAGTGGCTCTTTAACACAAGGGGTGGCATCTCTTCGGAGCCAAACTGCCAATTTAAATATAACTTTACAACTTCCAAAAAGAAATGAACTCACCTTGGACTGGACCTGCCAACACATCCTTCTCAATTCCCCATAAGCTCTCTATGTCAGCGCAGGGCAGCCTCACTGAGGGCAGAGGAACATTCTCCTCCAGAACCAGCCACTGGGTCCAGTACTTGTGTGGTGGGAATCTCTGCAAACAGCTTCTCCTAGAGTGACCGGTTACAGTGCAGATTTCTGAAGAGAGTTCTCCACATGAAGATCAAACAGAAGGCACTCTTGGCTGTGATGGAGCAGTTGGCGGTGGCAAACGGGACTCCAAACGACATCTGTGTAGTGATGAACGTGAACTTTATTCATTCACAAAAAAGGATCAGCAAATCTCAGGTCCATCAAAAAAAAGTCTAAAACTACTAATAAAAAAACATATGTTTTACATTACCTGTAAGTGTCTTGTCCAGAGTGAGTTGCAGGAACAAACTCAAAACAAGGTTCGGCAGGTGCTCCCAACCCTCAAGAGAGACGTGGGATCCAGCTGCCATAAGTTGAGAATAAAGACTTCGTCACTCAAGTCTAGTATCCCGGTGTTTGAGCTTTCAAGTGTGTACTCCCATTGCCTGCTTTCTTCTTTGACCTCAAACGAGGTCGTGGATAAAAGAGAGCACTGTCCCTGCAACTCATTCTCTCAACTCCCGTCGTGCAGTGCCATGTTTGCCACCTGCCATAGTCAGCCATTCTTGAGACGGATTTAACATTGAAGAACGTACCATTGTTGCAGTCAAAGGGGAAGTAACCTGGGAATGTCACACCTGGGCACGAGGAACGCTTGATTGAGTTTGCCCGGCATGCCATGAGCTACACTACATGATCAAAAGTATGTGGACACCTGCTCGAACATCTAATTTCAAAATCATGGGCATTAATATGGAGTTGGTCCCCCCTTTGCTGCTATAACAGTCTTCACTCTTCTGGGAAGGCTTTCCACTAGATGTTGGAACATTGCTGCGGGGACTTGCTTCCATTCAGCCACAAGAGCATTGGTGAGGTCAGGCACTGATGTTGGGCGATTAGGCCAGGCTCGCAGTCGGTGTTCCAATTAATCCCAAAGGTGTTCGATGGGGTTGAGGTCAGGGCTCTGTGCAGGCCAGTTCTTCCACACCGATCTCGACAAACCATTTTTACGTGCTACACGCTTCAGCACTCGGCGGTCCCGTTCTGTGAGCTTGTGTGGCCTACCACTTCGTGGCTGAGCTGTTGTTGCCCCTAGACGTTTCCACTTCACAATAACAGCACTTATAGTTGACCGGGGAAGCTCTAGCAGGGCAGAAATTTGACGATCTGACTTGTTGGAAAGGTGGCATCCTATGACAGTGCCACGTTGAAAGTCACTGAGCTCTTCAGTAAGGCCATTCTCCTGCCAATGTTTGTCTATGGAGATTGCATTGCTGTGTGCTCGATTTTATACACCTGTCAGCAACGGGTGTGGCTGAAATAGCCGAATACACTAATTTGAAGGGGTGTCCACATACTTTTGTATATATAGCGTACCAAAAGATGAATAGGCTATTCCAAAAATCCTAACTGACCCGGGCCGGTCTAAATCAAGGGCAGCTGTTCAGGCTGTACCATTAGGCTCTGTTAGTTAAAACAATTTTCAACAAATTACGTGGTGATCATCATCATCAGGATGAAGCTTGTATAAATCACATAATTCTCTCAATACCTGTTTGACAAAGTATTTTATTTGAAAACAATTTACAGTTAATAGACATTACCACAGCCAATCCATTTAGAACATGCAAATATCAAAATGGTAATTTAACTGCAGATCTTTCTCTGTTTACATCATATGCCACTGCTCTATGAGGACTTATGTTTCAGTTGAAGGTTTAGGCCTACCCATTGGGTACAATATATAATCAGTATGCTACTATTTTAATTAATCTAGGTGATTTAAACAAATTACAGCCTAAGTACCAACACATCTAAAGAATATTGATAGCACATATAGGCCTTACACAAGACAGCAACCTTTCCTTTAAACTTTTGGCAATGTTAAGGTTGTGACTTGTATTTGAAATGCAATGCGGTATGCTTAGTAAGAGATGCATGTGTTCCCTCTGATATATAGGTTGATATATATTTTGGTATAACATCCTGCTGCATACTATATGTGCAGACCCACTTTACCATATCATATAACGTTTAGAAAAAAACCTATGAAATAAGATATTGCAATCTGGTCCCCAATGACCAAAGTACATTTGCTGAGTCTGGCAAAATGAACGTTACACGTTCCAGAATATAATGAAAATGAACAAGTAACTGTTTCAACATGACCTGCTCTTTTAGTGTTGTAGGTGTGGACCTGCACTCAGTAATGAATTGTGGATGTGGTTATCTGACCAAGTGATAATATGTGCATCTGCACAACCATTCTCTCACCAATCTTCAGTTGCAAATAGTGCTCATGTTTCTGTGTGTTTATTTTCTACAAATCTTCACCATGTTTTGAGTGTTGTGATATTTCTTAGAACCCATTCTCTGCGTTCCAGACAAAGATACTTTATTTTAAGCAACATTTCTGACAGCAAGAGCTCCAATACACCAACATCAAATAGAATACAAAAAACAGAGGATAATATTACTTTGAAAGAAATATGTTCCAAATCATTTCATTAATGTACTTTGGATGAAATCCAGCAGGGAATAAAAAGCAACATTTAAAATACAATCCAACAGCTGGGCAATCAATAAAACAGAACATCACAATTCTGGAATGACAAGTGCATTGTAATCATCAATTTTTTTTCTTCTTCTATCAACTAGAGTTCAGTGTACTTATGAACAATGAAACAAATGTACAATAATCACTTCATTAGGAACCCTGATATATTTGTCTTTATACCCATTGGCCTCAGGAGATAATGTCTCCAACATGGAAAGTTGGATATATCTGTGGGTTAGTAAGTAGTTGTAAGGGCAGACTAAATGTAATGCAGAGAACATTTACATTACATTTACATTTTAGTCATTTAGCAGACGCTCTTATCCAGAGCGACTTACAGTTAGTGAATACATATTTTTTTTATACTGGCCCCCCGTGGGAATCGAACCCACAACCCTGGCGTTGCAAACGCCATGCTCTATCAACTGAGCTATATCCCTGCCGGCCATTCCCTCCCCTACCCTGGACGACGCTGGGCCAATTGTGCGCCGCCCATGAGTCTCCCGAGCAATCCACAGTGTTCTAAATAGTTTATTAATATAAATTGAGGGGCCACATGAGTATCCAATGTCCACAGACAATTCTGGGCTTACAGGGAAGGGGCCATTTATAATGTGCAGCTCTAACACACAACAGTAATACATAGTAAGGCGCTGACTCATGGTAAGTCTGTGTATTACTTGAGCTTATCTCTAAGGGAACAATACAACACTGGAATAAAGTAAATGGGAGAGCTAGACCCACAGCTCAAATCTTAAAATCCAATAAAGATTTGTGCTGATGTAAAAAAGAAACAGTCACCATTTACACAAGTCTTTAACACAAAACCTTTTTAAACATGTCAAATGTACAGTAAGAGGGAACGTGATGGGGTATATTTCTATACATGAAACAAATCCTCAAAATCTGAAATAGTCACTGCTATCTATTCACAGTTTGTGATCACAGTGTACTTTTGCTTGTTTGCTACATGTTTTCGATTATATCTTTATCATTCAGTGATCATTATCATTCTCTCTGTACAGAATCTGGGAGGCGGGGCAGTGGCTCATTAGGCTCCACCCCCTCAGGCCACCCTGATGCGAGGCTCCTCCTCTATCTCCTGCCTCAGGCTAGTATAGGTCACCGAGGGTTCCAGGGGCCCCAGAGTGGGCGTGTCCGTAATGGGGTGGCCGGCGTTGCGGAACTGCTTGTAGATGCGCGGGTCCTGGGCCACGTAGGTAGAGGAAGAGGTGTAGAGGACCAGACCCAATACGATGATGACGAAGGACAGGAGGTAGAGCCCTGAAAACTGGAGCAGACACATACAAACACACTTAGTCAGGATAGGAGGTAGAGCCCTGAAAACTGGAGCAGACACATACAAACACACTCAGTCAGGACAGGAAAACTGGAGCAGACACATAAAACACACTTAGTCAGGACAGGAGGTAGAGCCCTGAAAACTGGAGCAGACACATACAAACACACTCAGTCAGGACAACAGGTAGAGCCCTGAAAACTGGAGCAGACACATACAAACACACTCAGTCAGGACAACAGGTAGAGCCCTGAAAACTGGAGCAGACATACAAACACACTCAGTCAGGACAGCAGGTAGAGTCCTGAAAACTGGAGCAGACACATACAGTCAACTGAGAAATGGAAATGTGTTTTTACATATCCAACTCACCCTGAGACACCATCGGCAACCCTAGAGCAATTAGTGTTACGTGACTTGCTCAAGGGCACCAACAGATTTTTCACCTTGTAGGCTTGGAGATTCGAACTAGCGACCTTTCAGTTACTGGCCCAACGCTCTAACCGCTAGGCTACCTGCTGCCCCCAACAAACAAACCTCAATAATCTCTTTCTGATGAGATGAAACACATTGAGGGCGTTGTAATAGTAGTGTTCTGAGTTTCCAACAGGCTGCCTTGAGGGCTGCTCATGGCACAATTCTAATGACAGATATCATGGTACAAAAGCAAAGGCACATATTCCCCCAAGATGTACACTGAACAAAAATATAAACGCAACATGTAAAGTGTTGGTCCCATGTTTCATGAGCTGAAATAAAAGTTCCCAGAAATGATTCATATGCACAAAATTTGTTTTCATCCCTGTTAGTGAGCATTTCTCCTTTGCCAAGATAATCCATCCACCTGTCAGGTGAGCATATCAAGAAGCTGATTAAATAGCATGATGATTACACAGGTGCACCTGTGTGCAGTTTTGTCACACAACACAATGCCATAGATGTCTCAAGTTTTGAGGGAGCGTGCAATTGGCAGGCTGACAACAGGAATGTCCACCACGGGCCTCCCGAGTGGCGCAGCATCGCAGTGCTAGAGGTGTCACTACAGACCCGGGTTCTATCCCAGGCTGTGTCACAGCCGGCCGCGACCGGGAGACCCATGAGGCGGCGCACAATTGGCCCAGCATCGTGAGGGTTTGGCCGGCCGGTATGTCCTTGTCCCACCGCGCTTTAGCGACTCCTTGTGGCAGGCTGGGTGCATGCACGCTGACTTCGGTTACCAGCTGTATGGTGTTTCCTCCGACACATTGGTGTGGCTGGCTTCCGGGTTAAGCGAGCAGTGCGGCTTGGCGGGGTTGTGTTTTGGCTCTTGACCTTCGCCTCTCCCGAGTCCGTAAGGGAGTTGCAGCGATGGGACAAGACTGTAACTACCAATTGGGGGGTAAAAAAAATAAATAAAAAAGGAATGTCCACCTGAGCTGTTGCCAGAGAATTGAATGTTAATTTCTCTACCATAAGCTGCCTCCAACGTCGTTTTAGAGAATTTGGCAGTACATCCAACCGGCCTCACAACCGCA